ACACACACACACACACACACACACACGTTTCCTCCTCGCGAAGCAGCTCGCATCAGACCGTCCTTTAAAAACATTAACTGTGACATATACTTTTTATCATATCTTTGGATCTACTTGGTCTAACAACACAATTTAAAAGCTGGTTTAAAGTTCAAAGTCTCTACTTTTCACTCGAGAGTCAGAGAGGGTGAATCTTTACTGGTAGAGTTTTTCTTTCTTCCTAAACTTTATTTAGCTCAGCCAGCATAACGCTTTTAATAATAGATTTTTATGGACTTTACTGATTCATTGTTGCTGCCCTTGAGCAAACTATTCTCAGCAGAGTGTACTTCTATAAGSCATTCTGCTGACAGCTGAATACTCCAAATACGTCCAGACTCAGAGGCCATATTTATCAGCTGCTTACATCACTGCATCGCACCAAAGGCTGTCCAAACTGAAAGACTCCTTCCCTGTCTTTTCCTTCCTGTGTCTACACAAACTACATGTGTGAGATTCTTTTTTCTTATTAAGTATGGTTGTTAGTTGTTCATGTTTCCTGTGTGTGTACTCACAGTGAACTGGTTTGCAGCAGTAGGGATGTAGATGGTGTACTGTTTCTCAGACGCTGCCTCCACATTAACAGGACTGGCTTCAGCATTTCTCCTCAGCTCCTCCAGAGCCAGTCGGACAGCCAGGTATTTAGACAGATGATCCACTGTAGCGTTGCCTGATGTCTTAATGTAGCGCGGCACAAACTCCACACTTTGAACCAGTCGAGAACAGGCATGTCAGTAAAAATGCTGATTTGATTAGCTGACTTTAAACAAATGTTACGTAAGTAGAAAYATGACCAACACACAGATCTGAACAGATTCCTACCTGTTYTGTCCATCATCTTTTTCCATCAATGTGGGATGAGGTCTAAACACCAATTCGATTTCGCTGGTMCCGCCATCAATTACAGAGTCCCCGCCCCCGTTCTCAGCAGTATTATCCATGTCCAAACCGCTGTCATCACTTGTTTTGGTGCGTTTGATGCTTGGGCCTGCCTCCTACAAAAATACACCAGATTTTTAGGATCATGAATGTGTTTGTAGTCCATGATTGTAGTCTATGTTTGTACTCTATGTTTGTAGTCCATGATTGTAGTCCATGATTGTAGTCCATGATTGTAGTCCATGATTGTAGTCCATGATTGTAGTCCATGATTGTAGTCCATGATTGTAGTCCATGATTACTAGGGCTGTGTATTGGCAAGAATTTGGCGATGCGGTGCATATCATGACAGAGGAGTCACGATACGATATATTCTGATATATTGTGATACTGTAAGTAAGGCGATATAT